CATATGACAGATTTACTGAACTGGGACTCGATCAGGATTTTGAGGGCACAAAAATTTGTGCTTGTGATTATGTAGTAAAGAATAGCTCTGGAGTATTTCTTGTGTGGGCATATGTATATAAGTGTGTGTGTGTGCACGCACATATACACATGTGGGCACACATTTATGGGGCTATAGGTTAATATTGGGTGTCTTTTTAATTGACTCCACCTTATTTTTTTTTTAGACAGGGACTCAGATTGAACTCAGATCTTTCCAATTTGGCTAGACTGGCTGGCCAGAAATCTTTCTGCCTTTACCTCCTCAGTACTGGGATTATTGGCACTTGCCTGTGCATTTGGCTTTTATGTGGGTGCTGGGGATGGAACTCAGGACTTCATGTTACATGATAAATGCTTTATCAGAGGAGTCATCTCAGCTCTCTCTCACAGTGTAACATAATGTAACCCAACTTCCTTTACCATCCTGCTGCAAACACAAATTCTTCAGTGTCTGCTCTTTAGCCTGTGAACTCTAGAACCTAGTTCACCTCTATCTAGAGAGGAGACAGTTCTCTACTAAGTGGGGGATCCCACTCAGGGGGAAAGGATACCAGATTAATTACGCCCATGAAACCATCTATTCCTGTAAGAGGCCATCTATTCCTGTAACTAATATGGGGAACTGAATAAAGAAACATGTATAATTTGAGAGCCTGTTCTTTGGAAGAATTGCATTATGCTAGTTAATTTTTGTCAACTTAACACAAACTAGAGTCACCTTGGAAGAAGGAACCTCAGTTGAGAAATTGCCTCCATAATATTTCCCATGGGCTTGAGTCTGTGGCATTTTCTTGATTGTTAATTGATATATGGGAGCCCAGCCCATTGGATGGCACCATCCTTAGGCAGATGGTCGTCCTAGGCAGTATAAGAAAGGTAGCTGAGCAGGTCAGTAAATGGCACTCCTCTGTGATTTTGCTTCAGTTCCTGCCTCCAGGTTCTTGCCTAGAGTTCCTGCCCCGACTTCCCTCAGTGATGGACTAGAGCCTTTAAGTACCAAAACCCCTTTCTCTCCAGTGTGTTTATCTTGGTAATAGAAAGCAATCTAGGACAGAATTTGATACCAGAGCAATCTAGGGCAGAAATTGATACTTGCTGTGATAGACCAGACATTGTGGCCTTTGTACTTTAACATGGTTTTTGGAAGGAAGATGGAGAATTTTGAAGAATTGGGCTGGAAAAACCAATGAGTCCCCAGCATACTGGAAATTACAGGAATGTGGGATAATGATGATAATGATCCAGACACTGGAGAGTGTGTGGTAGAGCTGGACTAAGGGTACCTGATGAATTCTGTATGCAGAACCGGTGGGGTATGGCTATCCGAGCCCTTTGAAGCCTACCGAGCTTACAGTCCACAATGTGCCTCCCAGATACCCATACTGACTATTTTTGCTGTTGAATTTTGGTTTTGCTGAAGTGTGATTTTTATTTTCTGGTTCTTACCTTTTAGGATAAGAAGTATTTAATTTATTTTGGATTTTACAGGAGCCTGGAGGCATGAGAATGAATATTTTGAAGAGGCATTGAACTTTTAGAGTATTAAAAAATTTAAAGACTGTGAGAAATTAAAATTTGAAATGTGTTTTATATTGAGATATTAATATTATTGTGAAATCTTAGAGGAAAAACAGGAGAGAAAAGGTTGTGGTTTGGTATTTATGTATTTGTGTGGGCAATGTTTTATCATAGCAACTGGAAAGAAGCTAGGAATAAATAATGGTTTAACTCCATGTGGACGTGTGTGTGTGCTTGTGTGTACGAGTATAGGACTTAGAAGTTAAGAGCACTTGTTGCTCTTGTAGAAGGTCAGGTTCGGGTTATGGCAACCACATGCTTGCTTACTACTATCCATAACTCCAATTTCAGGGTATCTGATGCCCTCTTAGGGTGCCATAGGCACCAGGCACACACAGTATACAAATATGCGTGCAAGTAAAATATACCTGCATATAAAACAAAATAACTTAGCAAAAGCTCAGCAAGAGGGTTCCTTCTGTGGGAGAGATGTGTAAAGAGACATGCAATTTGAGGATGTCTTCATGGAGGCACTGTGTGAAGAAACATAGAAAGAGAGTACTCCTCTTTGGGATTTCATCACATGAGATAGATGTTTAAAAAACAATTTGCATGTTATACTGCAGCGACAGTAAGTTTTTATGATCAGCATACTCTCTCCATAACAGAATCTGTATAGAATCTGGACCATCCATCAAGCGTCAGTCCATCCATCAAAACACCTTGACTCATCACATGGCAGGGGATGCCTGGCCTCCATGGCACTGATATCACTGGAAGACAGCTTGGGTTTTCTCTCCAAGAGTGTACTAGTGTCACTGTACTTTTCTACTTGTGTTACATTTAAACCTAAACTGTTTTATAGTTGCTGTTTTCTTTTCAAGGTTAACCATGAAATGCACTCAACCGTTGCTACCTCTCACCTAACAATGATGTTGTTCTAACACTTTCAAGTGTATGGGGCATGGGGCAAGATTTTACAAAGGTCTTTTTTTAGTCACAGTCCTGGCTGTATTTTCACTTTCCATTCTGTGTTCCCACAGGAAACAACTTCACTTGGTATCCTCGGACAACAGGACTTTAAATTAAGGCCTACATTACTATGTGATCATTCAGTCGCTGTCTTTCAAATCTGCTATAATGAAAATTTCTTTCAGTTAATGCATAGGACGATCTGATAAGGAGTTTTCACTCTCATCCTGTCCTAATAAAACATGCTGTTTGACAAATTTAGACATGTTTTATTGAAGCTGGGAGTTTTGAAGCCCAAACATAGCGTTCTCTGATCACTTAATCTTGATGTGGGAATTTCTGGGAAGTATGCCCCATTTCTCACTTTGGTCGTTCAAACAGACATCATTAATGGCAGCACACATCCTCGTGGCTAGACCTGGCCAAGTCTAAACATTGACTTCACAAGCACTTGTCTCTACCAGGTAAGGAAAATCCCTACCCCAGACTGGACCCTCTGTACCAGATGAATCATTCTCCTAACCCAGGCTGGACCCTCTGCACCATGTGAATCATTTTAGCTCAATGTCTATCTCATGATATATGTCAAAGCTGCCTTTTGTTCAAATTAGTCAATCTTTGTTTACTGAAAATAATTATCTCTGGAAAAATTTTAATCTAGAAATAAAAGGCTGCATTTCATTTTGCCCCTTTGTTCCATTTGGATATCTTATAAAGATAAATAAACTTGTTAAATATGATTGGTAAAGTTTGAAAAGTAGTTGGGGTTGTAAGAGTTTGCTCAGTTAGTGTAAATCAGCACCAAGGTCAACCTAACCTTTGCTACAAGCATTTTTTAGGTTAAATTTTGTTTTTTAGTTAATGAAAAACATTACTTATCAAATAATAGATAAAATATTTTACATAAGTTCACTATACATGGGTGACTGATTTTTTAAATATCTTCTGTGTTGAGTGGAGATAATTTGGTTCACAAAGTTCAGAGATAATAATACGAGGGGGTTTTCAAATATTAAGTCACCAATGGTTAGACAGTCACACTAATGGGCTCCAAGTGTATTGCTACATTAGAGTCTTGTAGAATACAGATTCAAGGGTCTAAAACCTTTGATGAAGTTGTTAGCATTTTGCAGATTTTTAATCAAATCTTTGGTTCACAATCTCACACTAGTGTACTTCCCCTTCGTGAACATTACTGATAAACTGAGAGAAAAAAAAAGAAAAGAAATCCATACAGACTGGCTCAAAATATAGGTAATCTAAAGCCAGGGGTGGTGGGAGGTAGAAGCAGGAGGTTTCAGTGAGTTCCAATCCAGCCTGAAAAATGCAGTAAGTTCCAGGACAGTCAGAGCTACATGGTCTTGAAAAAAACCAAACCAAACCAAAATAAAATATAGGTAATCTAGAGGGGGTTATTTGTGGAGCATAAATCAGAAATATTTGCTTGGGTAGTGTTCAAAAGTTTGATAGCCTTCCTAAGGGCTGAAAGTTATAAATGATTCTGAGTTATGAACTAAAGCAGATGTTACAAAAGATGAGTTACTTTTTCATTTATCTCCTTTTCTAACAGTTAAAAATAAGATCTGCTTTTGAACAGTGTAGATGATGAAGAATACTTACAGTTTTATTTGTCAAGCCTGTAAAATTAAGGTCAAGCTAAGACTCTTTTGAAATTTTATTGTTTATTTCTACCTTATCCAACTTTTATCCTGATAATTTTCTTTGTATTTGTAGATAATTGCAGATTTCCATCTTGTATATTGCTAAGGCCAAGGGCAAATCCATATATTTGAAAATAAATTTTATCTCTATTTTTCCTATTCTCTTTCATGGGAGAAAATTGCTAACAACTTTTCCCTTCTGCAGCTCACTTCAATAGTTTTTCTTTCGGCACACGATTTTATGACACTCACCACCAGGAAAATTAATTTACCAGTGGCTCACTGCATTGCTGATACACTAGTATTAAGACATGAAGGAGAAAGAGCATCCATTAATCAGGGATGCTCCGTGACCCAGCACTGCAGACCCAGCATGAATGGAGAATGAGAACAGTCTTTTATCCATCTCCTGACTTTGTACCTATAAAATTTGTGCTTTCTTGTATCAGAGAGGAGAGAGGATGAGAGAGTTGGACAAAGAGGAGAAAGGAAAAGAGTGAAAAGGGGAGAAAGAAGAAGAGATATTAGTGAAAGAAGAGAGGATGGGTTAGAGGACAGAGAGAGGAGAGAGGGAGAAAGTGAGAAAAAGAAGAGAAAGAGGAAGGGAAGATGGGAAGGAGGGTGGGATGGAGGGAGGAGGAGAGAAGGAGAGGAAAAGGAGGAGGGAGAGTAATTTTATTCTCCATAGACATGCTGTCTCTGCTATTTGATTGGTAACTACTCAGTCCCCATTTCTTCCTCAAGGTGATTTTTATGCACCTTGCCATTTCAAACGTTATTTATTTGAAGAGTGACTCCAACTACTTACAGGGTTGAGAACCACGGTGAAGAAGAGCTCCCCTCCATGAATACTCTTGTCCAGTTCCCTGGGGCCCCCTGGATACTCCTTGTAGAAAATTGTGTGTGTGAAGAGTCCACAGGTTTGTCTTGGGAGAACCTGAAGGAAAGATGAGCAGGTAAGGAGAAAGCTCTGGCTACTGTCATGCAATCTTAACTTGTTTAAAAATGGTATTAATTGAACAATAACCAGGACCTTGAAGAATCCTTTGTGCTGGGTGATGAAAAGATGATGTCAGGAAGAAGGGATAACAAGAGAAGTTAAAGAAATAATTAAAACTGATATAGACGTTGGAGTATTTTTGCTATTGTCCTCTTTTAAGTTTCAACAGAGTCTAATATATTTTACCATCTTAATATATTTTTCTGAAGAAATAAAATTAAGACTTTATAAAAATACCAGAATTATGTGTAACTGGCAAAAATGTGACTAACTCCTTCTACCAAATTCTTCAGACACATTTGGAAATGAAGTCAGTTACTAACATGGTGCTTCTTAGCAAGTGGCATATCAACTAGAACAGGCTTTTGAAACAAATCAGTGTCTGCTCTACTGTGAAAACGTGGCTGTAAGGGGCCTCAAATGCCAGTTGTGAATGTCACCAGGTCCAAAAGGAAGAAAGTATCTATTTAGTTGGTAGTTTTAGAAAGTGTCGTCCAAACCCTGTCTCGAAAAACTAAAAAAAAAAAAAAAGTGTTGTAAACAAAATGACAAAAGGTCACTTAGCAGAAAGAGGGTCTTTCCATCCTTTGCTGTCAATCAGAGGCCACATCTGTGATGAGGTCCTTGTTGTTGTTGTTGCTGTTGTTGTTACAGATTTCTCCACTACGTGAACATGCGATTATGAAAGAAGTTGTGTAAGACATACTGCTTTCAGCCAAGTCTCACACAGTGAGACTTACAGTGGCCTGTGCTTGCTGTACTTGGAGACAGAAAACCAATGAGTGTATTTGAGAAAGCTGAGAGTTCTTCAGCACCATGTAGTCAGGCATTCTGGTCGCTTTAAGGAAAAGAATCATCATTTTTGTTGCCTTAACTTAAACAAAGCAGTTTTAGTTCCAAGATCACTTTGCAAACATTACCTGTACAAAACCTCCCATGTTTTTAGCCTTCCATGTTCACTGTATCTTTTCCAGTAGTGCAGACAGTAGTGTAAGAGATTTTACTCTAGTTTCTTGGAATTTTCCCAGGGAATGTAATTCTCAGTTCACTCAATGCACTGGATATTTCTGAGTCAATCAAGCCTATATGCATCCTATTTATTTTGCTAAAACATTATCTTAGATCAGCTAAAATATTTCAGTTTAAATTTCAGGTTTAGCTGGGCGGTGGTGGCGCATGCCTTTAATCCCAGCACTTGGGAGGCAGAGGCAGGTGGATTTCTGAGTTCGAGGCCAGTCTGGTCTACAGAGTGAGTTCCAGGACAGCCAGGGCTACACAGAGAAACCCTGTCTCGAAAAACAACAAAAAAAATTTCAAGTTTATTAGTCGGGGGTTGTTTATGTCTGAAAGTATCATGAACTGTCAGAATGTCATGCACAAAACCACAGCCAAAAAAAAAAAAAAAAAAGAACTGATAGAAAAAGGATTCCAGCTGAATCAGATATGTTTACTATCAATCACCAGATGTGTAATTTCCTGTAACTTAAAGTCATTCAAAGACTTTACTCATGAACTTAGCAAATACTTTTTCTAAACTCTCTGTGCTAGTTCATGTAGGAGAACAGAAGTGTGTGCTCATGTGTGTGTGTGTTTGTGTGTATTCTATTCTTAGAGGACATATCAGGAATATGATCAAAATACATTGTATGATATTCTCAAAAATTAGTAAAAATATTAACAGTATAACAAGGTAAAGAGAAATATCCAAATAAAATAAGCAAATATATATATATTATTAAATACCAGGATGCTGCTACATTTTACAAGTGTTCAACTTCAAGTAAATGACTTTTAGGATTAAGTTTGTGTATCTTGTTTCAAAATCACAGCATATATGCACTGCTGTCTGTGAAGCTAGCTTGCCCAGGTCATTTAAGTGGAGACAGAACGTGAAGAAACTTGAATGTTGTCTTTTTCTTAAATTGGGTGAGTTTGAATAGCATAAAGTGGAGGCTTCCCTTTAAAAACGTGTACCCCATGCGTCTTGGAGCCTCAGCAGGCCACCATGAGAGGCCAGGCAATCAGGAGTGGGATCGGGGTCTTGATCCGCTGTCTTGATTTGAGATGCAGCTATAGGACGATGAACACATTTCCTGAAACAGCTTTTATGCTACAGAAGGAAGGAGAACACTTCTGAAGGTATTTTAACATAGACTTTTCCTCAGATGATAGTGGTAGTGTAACACTGTGAAATTCAAACTTGGAAACTGTAATGTTCGTAGTTGCTGATCGTCTTGGGAAATGGTGAAAGCCTTAGACAGCAAGTCAAGGCACACCAGTATAACGTCAAGGACGGCCTCAAACAGGCAACTGTGTTAACAGTGAATTGGCCAGTGAAGACTGCTGGCCAGTGTGTGTCTGTGTGTGTGTGTGTCTGTGTGTGTCTGAGTACAGTTAGATTGGTGAGAAGCCCTTCCCCTGGGCTGTCTTTTAAAGCCAGTGTGTACAGTGAATATGAGTCTTGTTGCTCACAGACCTCTGTGTCTACCCAAAGAGCCACATTTAACAACCAGGTTCCAGGGTTGAGAACATCAGTTTTCTACTCATTCCTTACTGTGTGAGGATAAAAGGTGCCCAGTGAAGAGGCCCCCATGTCTTATGAATTCATGAGGGAGAATCATGGAAGGAATACATGAATTCAGAGGAGAATAAGAAAGCTATAGGTCTATTTGAGAACCACAGTGCTGCACAGTTGGTTACATATGTTAAAAGGAAGGTTTGATGGGATAGAAAAAGATTGGGCGACTCTGGGAAGTCATTCACAGTGAACACAGCAGTCCATGCTGGGCAGTGGAAGACAGAGATGCAAGCATGGCACTGAGCATTTTCAGTCTCTTAAGGATGCATTAAAGAGTGTGCAGACAGCTGCGACTCGTACGGGTGGAGAGGTCAGGAGGATTCTGAGTTGGTACTGCCTACTGGCTATCCTTCATGGAAGGGTGAGGAGAAGGTGCAAACTGACCAAGTGGAAGCTGGTAGCACAGTCGACATAATAACTAAGCCATAAGTTAAGATGATGGATTCAAAAGAGTGAATGAAAAGAAATTCTAAAGGTATGATTGTGGGTGCTTAGAGAAGATTTGGCCATGTTAGTGGGCAAGTTTGATTTACAGTGGGAAGTTTGAATTACATAAATTAATTACTGATAGCAGGATCCATGATGGCTTGAAGAGAAAAAAATGCCCTTTAATTTAAGTCTTTTAATTTGTGGATGATTTCAGTTTCATTTGAAAATCTAGGTCTGGCATAAGATTCTAGGGTTTATGCCTCAGTCCCCAGATCTTGCCTTCCAGTCTCTATTAGGAGGGCATCTGGAGCTCCAGTTCTTAAATATAGGTCTATTTGGATGGCTAGTGATGATTTCCTGTCTCTCTTCCTACATAATCCACAGCCTGCTAAACACTCTTCAATATGGAAATTCTCATGCATGAGCCCACAAATTGAATCCACATGAAAGCAGAAACCATAGGGAAGAACCGTGTCAAAGCAGGAAATCTGCCTAAGCTTTGGTTAACAGCAACATTGATACATTTGCAACATGGGCAAAATATAGTCCAGAACGTATTGGAAACAGGACAGAACTGAACTGAATATAGCCTCAGAGACTGAGGCTCACCACTGTAGAACTGCCAACATTGCAATAGTGAAAGAGCACTAAATGCTTTTAAATTATGATCTTCGATGGGCGTTTAAAACTCCCTCTCATCAGAAAGCTGGCCAACTGAGGCCATGATAAATTCATTTGAAGGAGGGGCAAGCTGGGAGAAGAACATGGCCATTACATCTTCATCTGGCATTTACAGCATTTTTCTCGTTGAGGGACACATTGATATGGGCATTAAGTCCACGTTAAACACCACTATCCATTTGAGTTTTTAAAGACATTAGAAAACTGTGGGAATGGAAGTGAACTGCACCTACCTGAGAGGCTGGATTATCTGTTCACATGCTAACCTAGTGCTCTGGGGCTCTTCAGCTTCCTGGCTGTTTCTTTGCAGTGTATGAGTCTAAATCAAGGGCTGTGCACCTTCACTGATACTTTCCTTAAGTTCTGACTTAGGAAAAAATAGGCTCCAATGGCTGACTTTGACAAATCTCACCACATCTTAGGGAGCCACGTATTCGGTTTTGCTACCACTGCAAAAAACGAAACAAGATGGAGACACTCCAGAGTAGTGATTTAGCCATTTGCTCTCTATTGTCTGGTGGTGAGTGATAACTTCACTCGTGGCTTCTTGCTGCACACAGTGCTGTGTTTTGCGGGGACCTGGCATGGTAAAGAGGTGCAGCTTGACTAGCTTATAAAAAGACAGCATGGTGATTGTAGGGAGCCGCCATGACTTTCATCTACTTTGTAAGTAATGATAGAGTCTAAAATTATTTCTAAATTTGACGTAATGTTTTCTTAGCATTTTTACATCAGTGATTGCTTGCCAGCACAAGTGTCAGGAAAAGAAGGCTTATTTTTATTTTTTTCTGAGCTCTAGGAAGTAGGAAGACACAGCTGTCATTAGTGAGCCTTCCTGAGGTATGACAACACTCTTCACACAGCATCCTCTTTCCCGATCCACGTTCGTAGCCCTTAGCTCTCCCCTTCCTCTGTCTTCGCATGTGTGCTGTCGTCTGGAGGAAGTGACCAACCCCACACGTGCATGCTGCTCACCATGATGTTTTTGTGGATGAAACCTCTCCGATATCGAGCTGGTTTCAGATGTGGATATTCTTCAGTGCTGGTGATTTTAATATTCCAAACCTTCTTCCAGGCCTCATAAAGCTGAACGTGGACAGGGTAGACACCTGAATGGTGAGGGGACACTGCGTACCCCATGTCGGTAGGAATGCCGTGCTCCTATGACCAAGAAAACTCTCATTAGAATGTGGGAAGCTCAAACTTTCATTCCTAGAGTCTCACTACAGAGCCCAACCCTAAACTTGCTGTGAACTCACATCAATACTCCTGCCTCATTCTCCCAAATGCTATGATTACAGGCATACATCACCACACCTAACTTTGAAGATTTGTCTTGATTATGTTTTTCTTGGATTTTGAAATATGCTATAAATACATGTTTTCAAATCTACCATTAGTTATTGTTTCCTGGAGTTAAAATGATATATATTAAGATCATGAGAATACTTGATGTTTGGTAGCCATCAGCCATCTTCTTATTCTATTGGTAGGTGGGAGGTGGTAGGAGAAGCAAAGACTGTTCTTCACTTAACACATTCTTGGCCACCTGTTCTTCCCACTGATTATAATTTCAAGAGTTAAGTAACAAATACATTCTACCAACAATATTCAGCTTGTTCCATGGGACACAAAGAATCATGGTCCTTCCAAGTGTAACTGGCCTGCTTAAAGGATCTTACTGTATCTGCAATACTTTCTATCAAGTTTGCTACATTTTTTTTGTAGCTTCATTATGTAATGGCATGCTGTAACATGTGTGGCAGTAACACAACTAAATCTCAGTAGAAGCACACAGATTTGATTGCAAACTGTAGGAAGTTTTATAGAGCAGGTTTTTGGTGTTTTTGATTGTTGTTGTTGCTTTTTAAAAGAAGAAGCCCTCATCATTTAAGCAGAAGGTACTCAAAGAGAAAAACAACCTGGGAATTTACAAGGTTTTAAATAAAACACACAAGCACACACACACACACACACACACTCACACAGATACTAGTTAAATGCAAACACCTTCCAAACTACACATGCATAAATGTGTACTGAAGAAGCAACTAAGAATAGCTCAAGGAGTTCTTTATCCTGATCCTCCTCAGGTCCTGCCAACTCTGTTAGAAAATCTTGGTGACTGCTGGCTTGTTTTGGAGAGGGCTTAGGCTAACTTGGAGTCAGTGTAATTGTTCAGGCTTCAGATGCCCCAGGAATGCTCATCCATTTCTCTTGGGACAGAGAGACAGTTTCCAGACATAGGCCGTGAAATCAATCTTTTAGAAGAAGAACACTCCAGGTTTTAATATCGACAGGTATTTTTTTCCTGAATGATTTGTTTTGCTTTCTGTTTGTATTTTTCAATTGCTTGACAACTTTCAAAGACTCCACTGAAATAATCTCTCTTTGAATTAGTTGTGGTTTTTTTTTCCTTTTCCACACCAAAGAGCAATTTCACACGGAGGATCAGAGGATCAGGCTCCCAAATAGACTGACTTGAAGAAGTGTGCTACAAATGGACACAGAAGGCAAAGAGATTTGGCAGCTTTCCTTCTCAGCCTAGAGAATATCAAAAAAAAAAAAAAAGAAAAGAAAAGAAAAGAAAAGAAAAAAAAGGGAGAGGCACAAGTAGCATCTGCTCACAAGAAAGCCAGCTGCCAGGTGTCACCACCCCTCAGTGGTAACTTTCCTTCCTCTCAGGAACTTTATGCACTCTTCAAAAATCCCATCAGTCCTCTCTAGTAAGGATGCTAGAAATGAGAGAAATACAGTGTGGCCAAGAGAAACAGAGAGAGGTGCAGAGATGAGAGAAGGAGTACACAAGAGATAGACTGAGGGATGAGGGGGATGGATTGACAACTTCCCTGTTATCTTCAACCTTTGTAGACATTTTAATACTTATGTAATCATTATCATATAATTTAGGACTTCTCCAAAACAGAAGTGAAGTGTCTCCTTGCTCCACTCTCCCCCTCCCCAGTTTTAATTAACTCAGATTAATGCACTTTCTTTATCTAGGAATTATGTACCAAGATGTACTCTTGTTAGAAAAAGTCACTAAAGTATCAGTCTCAAATACTTTAAGAACAGGAGTGCAACTTAAAGATCAGACAAAATGGATTCCCATCAAAGATGTTGAAAGAAAATAATAGACAATTACACATTAGGAACTTCTTGGAGGTCTCTGCTTCTCCCTGTTCCAGAGACAGCCACATCTTCTTGTCCAGTGCCAGCCTCATCTTGTAGCCAAAATGGTGAAGGTCGGTGTGAACAGATTTGGTCATATTGGGCACCTGGTTACCAGGGCTGCCTTCTGCTCTGCACTTGGCAAAGTGGACATTGTTGCCATCAACGACCCATTCTTTAACGTCAACTAGATGGTCTACATATTCCAGTATGACTCCTCCCATGGCAAATTCAATGGCACAGTCAAGGCTGAGAATAGGAAGCTTGTCATAGACGAGAAGCCCATCACCATCTTCCAGGAGCGAGATACCGCTAACATCAAATGGGGTGATGCTGGTGCTGAGTATGTTGTGGAGTCTATTGGCATTTTCACCACCATGGAGCAGGCCGGGACCCACTTAAAGGGGGGGTCCAAAAGGGTCATCATCTCTGCCCCTTCTGCCAATGTCCCCATGTTTGTCATGGGTGTGAACCACAAGAAATATGACAACTCGCTCAAATTGTCAGCAATGCACCTTGCACCACCAACTCTTTAGTCCCCCAGTTAAGATCATCCATGACAACTTTGGAATCATGGAAGGGCTCATGACAATGGTCTATGCCATCACTACCACTCAGAAGACTGTGGATGGCCCCTCTGCAAAGCTGTGGTGTGATGGCTGTGGGGTTGCCCAGAACATCATCCCTGCATCCACTGGTGCTGCCAAGGCTGTGGGCAAGGTCATCCCAGAGCTGAAAGGGAAGCTCACTGGCATGGCCTACAGTGTTCCTACCATCAATGTATCCTTTGTCTCTGGCAACTTCAACAGCAACTGTCACTTTTCCACGTTTGATGCTGGGGCTGGCATGGCTCTCAATGACAACTTTGCAAAGCTCATTTCCTGGTATGACAATGAATATGGCTAGCGCAACAGGGTCGTGGACCTCAGGGCCTACATGGCTTCCAAGGAGTAAGAAACACGAACCACTCACTCCAGCAAGGACACTGAGAGCAAGAAAGAGGCCTTCGGTTGCTGAGGAGTCCCTGTCCCCAACACTGAGCATCTCCCTCACAATTTCCATCCCAGACCCCCATAATAACAAGAGGGGCCTAGGGAGCCCTCCCTACTCTCTTAAATACCGTCAGTAAATGTTCACTGCACCCCCTCCACCCCCCCTAAAAAGAAAAAATTTCTTGGAGAACACAGTGAAGAAGCAATCCACAACAACCAGAGCTATATTACAAACTCAAAATGTCTGGGAATTCACAGGCAATGATGTTGACTAAAAGGTTAAGGTAGTTTTTCTGTGCTTGCTTAGTGCTCTTGTGATTCCAGGGAACTGGATGCATAGCAAAAAGATGACTTAACATAGAAAGGACGTCCCTTTCTTTGTCTTCATAAAGAGTGTTTGACCATCATGGTACACTCAGGCTTCATTTCTACTTGCTAGCATTTCTTGTTAAAGTTTCGACTTTCATTTGCAGGTTGGTGCAGTGATCGGGACATTTCATAACTACACTTACTATCCTGCATTTGGGAGAACAGCTAACCAAATTTAATCCCCCAACCTCGTTTTCTAGCCCACTGCACAGAAGGCTACATTGCTCAAAGTGCTGAGAAGTTGTTACGTCATATGTGGGACTCATTTACTACGGTTCTTGCAGCACAGCACACTCAGTGTGTGCAGCTGACTGTTGTCACCTAATCTCGAATGCTCTCGTGTGCTGTGATCTAATAATACACAACCACACAACTTAACCTGACTATAGCATGTCTGAATCTTCACTTATTGATTAGCTTATTACTAAAAGATACAGGGTCCTTTTCTCTATCTTTACTGATAATTTGGGGATCATATCTCATGCCTCCTCCTCCTCCTCGTCCTCTTCCTCCTCCTTCTCCTTTTCCTCCTCCTCCTCTAAATGCAACCATTTCTCATAGCTCTCTGGTAGAGTAAGAACTTTAGAAATAACTTTATATAAAGATTACGGAAACCCATCCTACCAATCTGCATCCAGTGCTCCTAACTACAGCCCGTTATCATGTGCCATGAATACTACAACTAGCGAAATCCTTAAATGTGTCTACTCTTCTTAAATTTACCACATCAGCATAGTACACCCTGGCCTAAGGCCACTTGGTATAGATTTCTAATTTTCTACCCATCTTTCTCACTTGGTCCCCTAAACCATTCCCCATAAAGCAGCCAAAGGAATTTCTGATAGATTCAAATATGACCGTATGACTCTCTATTTAAAATCCTCCAGGCTTGCCCACTTGCACGTAAATACAAAATTATAGTCTGATCGTGTTCTTTGCCTCGAATAACCGTTGCGGCGTACATCCAGCCTTCCCATGTTTACTCCTTCTCTCTTCTTTCATCATGTTACCCTTTCCTGAAATTCACCGAATTCTTTCCTACTCCAGTATCGTCCTATTGCTCAGTCTGGAGTGTTCCACTCCACAACACACTTTTTGAGTAGGATCTCTTTGTATATCCTTGGCTGCCTTGAAAGTTACTATGTAGACCAGGCTAGCCACAAAATCATAGAGCATTGGCTGCCTCTGCCTTCTGAGTGCTGGCATTCAAAGCATGTGCCACTGTGTTCAGCATCTTATTCCATTTCGTTATCTGAGTAGATCTACAGACAAGACTTGCTGATAGGATATACCAGAGCACAAATGTTATGGGGGTAACCACCACTTTTGCATTTAAAGCCCACTCCATAAGGTTGAACCCATACATGACACTGTTTGAGTGGCCAAGAATTCCATATCTGTTAAAGAAATTTAGGAATAAAATGATTCCTAATGAGTAGCCTCTGTTTTTCAAAGTCTTATAGCATAATGGTGTAAATATTTCTTTATGTCTCTTCTACACTAAAGGACTCTAAGAAGTCTGGGTTCTGTTTTATCTCCTGCTCTCTACTCATTACCTTCCTAACTGAAAACATGACAAACATCTGTGAACGGGTGTGGAGATGATGGCTGACGCCCACCACCCTCTTC